TGTCACCTATACTGACTTCAATGTTGTGTTGCTCAGTCCTTGTCAATTATCTTAATTGGTCTTTGAAGATCACTTATAACTTCTTAAAATGAGCACCATGAGAAAACAACCTCTGCCCCTGTACTTCAGAGATATGTATTAATGCAATCATATCTCCTCCTAAAATGAATTTACTGCTCCACCAGCGGTCTGAATGACATCATGCTGTTGCTGTGGACTCGGCCCAGCAGCGGGAACTCTCCGCAGCTGCTTTCTACATTCAGACCTGCTGCTGCTGCCGAACGTGGATTTGAGAGCAGATCTGCTGAGTATTAACCAGCTTTGGTTGTAAACCTCCCAGGGGAGACGCGGGTGGTTAGATCATTGAGGGTCTGACTCATGTTTGTGGATACGCTCAGCTACTGTGTGTGTGTGAAGGAAATGTCGGGGGGAAAACTTGTGTGTGATTGTATTTATCTTTTCATGTAATGTAATAAAAGTGTGGTTCTGTGTGGGCTTTAGGTATTTTTATTGCCGTTTGGGTGAATTTCACAGAATCTGCCATTTCATTTTTGCTGTATGTAATTTAATATACACAAGTGGTGCTACTTAAAAAAAAAAAAAAGTTTGTTGTTTTTTAGGTAAATGTGTGCATTTAATAGCATGAAATCTTTTCTTAAAATAATGCCCTAGCTTGACAGAGTTGAATTTACAAGGTTGTTTAAAGGAATGTGGGTTCTATCTGTCAATCGATTTATCATTGATCTCACGCAAGATGCAAAACATCCACAAAGAGATGCAGAAAAACCACAAAGGGATGCAAAGAGACACAAAAACAACCACAAAGAGACGCAAAACAATCACAAAGACACACAAAAACAACCACAAAGAGATGCAAAGGGACACCAAAAAGAACCACAAAGAGAAACAAAACAATCACAAATAACTGCAAAACAATCACAAAGAGATGTAAAGAGGCACAAAAAGAACCACCCAGGATACGTAACACAACCACAAACAATGCAAAACAACCCCAAGCACATGTGAAACAATCAGACGTGCAAAACAACCACAAAGAGATGCAAGGGGAACACAAAGTCAACCAGAAAGAGACGCAAAACAGTCACAAAAAAGTGCAAAACGACCACAAAGTAATGTGAAGAGGTACAAAAGCAACCACAAAGAGACGCAGAACAACCCAAATAACCACAAAGAGACCGAAAGGACCACAAAATGATCACATCTGTGGTCAAAATCTTTGAAGTTATTTGAATTTCATCACACACATGCTGTCCAACCCTGTTTTCCTGTAATAAAAACTCATGGTTTCGCTGAAAACTGTGTTTTTTAATATATTTCTTACATGTCAGCTTTGTTTCTAGTTGATGTCAACGCATTCCAGCAGTTTAGATCCATTTTTTACCATCGCTGGAGTCTTGTCAGTTTGAGAAAATTACACTGAAACAATACAAACACATGTGAGCTATTTAACAGGACTATATTAAAATGTATAGTAATTTCCAGTACGTCACTCTTGGACCGCACTTAGACAGATTTACAGGTTTTATTTGTGTGTAGATTTACGGTTTATACATCCAAAGCTCTTGCAACAACAAACAAACCTCCCTCAGGCTTAATTTTGACCCTTCCGTGTGTAAGAAAACCCTAAACCAGGATCTATCTCATCAAATACTCTTTATAAACGGTGCCATATTGCCCTAAATAACCAATTAGAGTGCAACAAATATTCCAGATTGTAAGCCTTCAGTCTGATCTATGAGTTAGAAAACTGGCAGCAGGATAACAAACTACTCTTTCAGACCAAGTTACTTTTTCCGTTGGGGTTTATAGGCTGACATGCTACACTGACAGCCCCATAAACAGCTAATGGCCCCCATTTCTGCTAATTGTGGCCAAAGCTGGAGTCTGCTGAGCTGACATGAAATTAAAGTTGAGCTTAAATGTGTAATCCTGTGTCTCTTGCAGAGGGGGGAACTCTCTGGAGTACAAAGGCGGAAGGAAAGACGTCATCACCTCTGTAGTGGCAGCCGCTCCCTTTGACCTTGCAGTGCTGCTCATGCAGTCAGAAGCAGTCTGAAACAATCAGCTCAGTTTTCCTGCATCTTCCCTTTGTTCTGCTGAACAACCGGGGAGGACTTTTCCTGGTCTGACCCCAGAGATGCCTCCCTTCATCCCCTCCCTCGTCCTCGTCCTCCTCCTGGCTGGTCCGGCCCTCCTGACCCCGTCCACCTCCACAGAGTTAGAGGTCAGAGGGCAAAGGACGCCGAGGGATGCCAAGCAAGATGCTATCAAGGTGACTCAGGGGTTTGTTGGTTGGATGAATCAATGGCAGGTTAGAAGCTGACTAGACATCTAAACCCAGGATGGGGTTTATTATTTTTGAGATCTTTTATGTATTCGGTGTTTACAGACATCTCAGCGACTACATTCCCGGACATCATATTCTTTTGCTTGACTTCGTCCGGCATCATATAAAGTACTTTAATGCCTATTTACAATCTATCTAAGGACTAATTCTTGTTACAGGCAGGTGGCACCACAATTCAAGAACCTAGAGGAATTGTTTTGAGGTTCTTCTACGTCTTCTACTTCTGAGAGTGTGATGAGGTGCCACCTGCCTCCAACAAGAATTCAGACCTTTAGTGGTTCCTCACCACTGTGTTCTGTTGGGGATCCTTTTATATTCCAAATGGTTTCTTGAGGATCCCCTGATGAAAAGGTTTCAGGACCCACTTCAACGTTACTGATCTGTTATTATTATCATGGTGACTTTTTTTTACCCCCAAATATAAGAGAAAGTATTAGACAATATGGTAAACAAATTTGAGAGACTTTCTTTACATTTAGGCAAATACACTGCTAGAAGTAGTAGAACCTAGAGGAACCTTTTAAAGTTCCTCACCTTTACTGCTGTGGAGGAGCCTTTTGAGCTCAAAATGCATTCAGAGGTTAACTAAGGAACTCCTCAGAGAGGTTTTAGTGGTTCCATTTTTAACTCTTATTCTTACCATTATAAGAAGAAAAAATTGAGAAAAAAATCTTAGGTAGATTAACTGTAGTTGTTCCAAAATGAAATTGAGACTTTGGCATTAGTGCTAAAAGTCAGACAAGATCCCAACTGACTCAACTAGATGTGGCAGGGCGGTAGAATTTTCTGGTTATAAAAGTTGCAGACATCACCACCTGGAGAGTTTCACCCAAGGAAATAGTTTGTGTAGGTTGTTAACAGGTTCGGTTCACACACGAGAGCTGGAGACGTGATTCCCAAGTTATCATTTTATTTCTAACACCACCACCAGGGGATCTGACTGCCACGCTCCAGGGGCCCACAGCTCCTCACAGATACGGCGACCACCACAAGCCGGTCCAAGGCAGAGGGCGAGTGGTGCCACCAGCCAACTCTACCAAAACATTTGTTTTGTATCTGTTTTTTTCTTTTTAAAGGTTTCTCCATAAACCCCTTTGGACTTATTAGAGGTTCCTTCAGAAACCTCTTCTCAAAACTGAGCTGTTAATGGTTCCTCCAGCAGGGTTCCTTAACTATCCCCAGAATTCACTGGGGCGCTCCTAATTCTGAGAGAGCACTAACTGTCAACGAATCTGTTCAGGAGATCCTCCAAAAGCATTAATGTTGAAAATACAGTTGCAAATCATTTACCGTCTAAATGATTACGATCTCAAAGATTTATCTACAAAGTCCTGTTGACAGAGCACAGATGTGTTTTCTGTTCTGGGCTCCAGCAGGACATGTTAACTTTGGATAAAACAGAAAGTAAAAAACTATGAGCCCGTGCTCCATGAAATATATCTGTTTTTAGTAACCCTCCCTTTGGCTTTCGTTTCAGCTGAGTCACACTGAGACTATCTCTGCAGATATCTGTGTGTTGACTGACTGACTTCAGCTGTAGTAACCGTCTCTGCAGTTACTGCAGCTGTGAAGAGAAAGAGAACATGACGTCACACTGAGTTGCATGTTTGCACTGAAACACCATCTTATCAAGGAAACACTCTGGTACCTGCTTACCTTTGTTTAGTTTGGCTACAAAATGATGTACCCTCTGAACTACAAGAAGTTTCTGGGCGTTTTCTGGTGCTGTCATATTTTCATTCACTGTGATATAAAGTCCTGCACCTCTATGGAAACAACACAACCATGTCTACAAGTAGAGGAAAATCCAAAATTGTTTCTGTGCAGAATGACAGACAAAAAAATGTTGGAGCAAATAATTATTATTGTTTTATGTTTGATTGTGTTTTTTTTTTTGCAGATTTTAGAATGACTTGATTTTGATGAAATATCACAATTTTAAGCTTAGATCTGATTAATTATTGCAACTGAACCACACATCACAGATTGCTGAATAGCTGAATGACCATCAGAAAGAACTATTCTTTCTGTTTTTACAGCTTCTGGCTGAAAAACGGGGACATTTTGGCGATTTCTTTTCCAAAGCTATCACACCTGGTCATCAAACTTACTTTGTGACACCAGGGTGACATCTTTAAGCATTTACGATATAATCAATATTATCAAAGAAACAAAGAAAAAACAATCGAGTTTGCAGTTCTGCTTGAGTGTTTGAGGTTGCTGTCTTTCTACATAAGAGAGTACAAATTATGTATGTATAGTAGAGAGCAACACATAGGTAGAGTTTTCTATGCAGAGCAGAACAGGTAAGTCCCATTCAAAGGGTGAGATTCTTTAAAGAACACAATGTATGAGTTTGAGTCCTTCAGGGGAATGACTAACCACTAAACTAACCATTTAAAATGCAAATTAAAAACAACTTCAGGAATTTGCCTCCAAACAGCAAAACTGATAAAAGAGCTAAAAGAAGCTCGACAATCCTGAAATGTACAATATGTGTTTTGATTTATGTGTCCAGGATGCTAAGCTGCTGTTTTCTGTAAATTTAAGGAAAATAAGTTGCATAAATATGAAAAAACAATGTCCTAGTTGTATTTAGCTACGTTTTTAGACTGCGGTTGGCCTCAAAGACATGCAACAGGTTTGGTCTTGAAATATGTGCAGCCCAGGAGTCGAGATGCAAATAAAACACGACTCATTTTAGTGCAACCTAAAGTTGGACTTTTTCCATCGTTGCAGGTGGTGATCTCAGAGGGCTGCGCCAATCAGGGCGATTCATCTGACGGGAGCCAAGGAGGTAAAAAAATCTGTTGATCTGACATGTTTGAAAGACCACATCATCAGTCAGAGTTGTGATTTTTGAAATATCAACATACATCAGGTCAGACTGCAGAACATGACCAGGAGCTGGCAGCTTGTCCTCACTGTTCAGCAGCTTGTTTCTGTTTTTCACAGGTAAAGAAATCGACCTGACTCCAGGTTCTCCTCTGGTCCTGACCCATAAGATCAAACTGGTTCCTTCAGGTTCGGGTTCTGGGTCTTGTGGCTGCGAGGCCGACTTCGCTGCCCTGCGGGAGCGTCTGGAAAGGCTGGAGAGGGAGGTGTCGGCTCTCCGGGAGAAATGTGGAGGACCCGAGGGAAACTGCTGCACCTCTAAGGAGAGCAAAGGTAAAGCCAGATGCTTGTTGTTGGTTCTCTCTACAGTAATGCTCTTGACTAAATGAACAGCAATCAGTGTAAAACTGGCTACAGTGGAATTTTTTATTATAATAGTGCCCTCCTGGCAAATTTTTTTTAGCAGCAGAAGACAGCAGAAGAAAAACTTGAAAAGCTCTCTACACTCCCTGTTCAGCTCAGTTAGAGACCAACTGATGAACAAAGAGGAATATCTAGTCGTAGTAAAGCCATATATTTCCCATAGGAGCTGGAGGAGACCAAAATCAGAGCTAAAAGAGAGAAAATTAGGGAATTCAGCGGCAGTTTGCCACCAAATTAAAGAAACCAAACTGCAAGATGATAACATATCACACCTATAACATAAAAAAAATTCAGTTCTGGCAGAGCAGTAGAAGAGCGACTCAACTTAAACTCGTCTGCTGTAAAACTAAACTCAAAGGCAAAAGCGGAAGTGGTGACCCAAAAATAAGAATGTCCACTGCCTTAAAATTAAACTCTCGCTGTGGGCTCATTTCCCACTGCAGTATAAAGTCCTACACCTTCACAATAAGAGCCTCATAACTTTGCAGCATCGTTCCATTAGTTTCCAGGAAAACATGCTTAAAAAGCAGCCACACATGCATATTTTCCTCATTCGATCTCACCTGCATTTTGTCTGTGTTCATCAGATTGTGTCCTTTGTGGCTAAAACACTGTTTTGTATTAACATAGTGTGTTACAAAGGTTCAGCTGCTGCATGTTTTTGCATCCTGATCCTGCTCTAATTTTAAATGTTTTTTTTAATGAAAATTTGCCAAAAACAAAAGTGAAACAAAAGTGTTTTCTTGACTTTTAAGAACTCAGTAGACCCCAAAAAACTTAAACAGAGTAATAAATAATATTAATAAGGAACAAACAACAGCAAAAAGACAGCCCGCCTCAACCAAAAATAGTTTATTTACTATATGTTTGCACAATACCTCTCTGGAATTATTGCTGCTGTTATTTTGTCTGTAAATCTTGATTATACTTTTAATTCACACTATTAGAGTTTATCCGGTAACTATCATATTTTAAGCTTTTCAACAGTCAGATTATGGAGCCTGTGGCTGTAGAAAAGACATTTTTAATCTCAGTCAGGCTTTCCTGGCTAAAAAAAACCCAACACACACAGGCTTTACAAATTGAAAATCACAATGTGGACACTCCTTAGTTTTAAATAAATAAAGCCGTGCAATAAAATTCCACCCACTCAGTAGTCACGCTCACAAACACTTCTACAGACCAGACCTGTGAACCAAAAAGACTCATGAACTATTCAGAGTACTTGCTCATCTTTCTAGAAAACCCAGATGGACACTGACGTCAGTTTCTGAGCTTTTTCTCACTTATGTCACATGTAATTTGTCAAATATAATGAGCAGGTACTGACTAACTGTAGCAACTAACACTTCCTCTGGTTCCCTCATATGAAGCTGCAGAGGATTTTCATGGAAATATCCTGTAATTTACACTTTGGTGAAGCTAATTTTTAGTGTGTTGTGAGGATTATATCCAGGAAATTAGCCAGAAAACACCTGTAAAACAGAGGGTCACCCAAAAATCAAGCTGGCATTAATTGAGCACAGATGACACGAGAGAGGTGAGGCTGAAAATGTTCACTTGGTCAAAGAAAAAAACTCCTGCAGCAACAGAGAGAGATCTGAGGTTTCTCCTTTCAGGCTACTGAGAGAAAGAAAACTCATAACCGACTAACTTCTTTGCATGTTTTTAGAGTTTGAATAGAGTTTCATCTGCTGCATGTTTTGATGAACAGTTAATCTTCTCCTAAAAAAATAGATGCTGGAAATAAACTTCAGGCAAAATTAATTCATTGAACTCAGTGTTGCTCCAGAAAAGATCCTAACACAAGATTAATCAAACAAATCGTAAACAGGAAAAAATATTTTTAATAACCTTAAATTTGCCTTTTTATTTTACACATTTTTCTGTATTTTTGAAATTTTGAAAAATATTCATAAGATTACAAATTAGAATTCATGTGTCTTATGTGTA